ACTCCGTAGTCACCCCCTGTCCCTAATCAATAGACATAAGCAATTGCTCATCAATCTCCTAGATTTGCCCATTGGATGTTATCTACAACAGGAGTCGTGCAAGGTGTAGTTCCTTATGACTGACTTCCTTTACAAAATGTTTAAAGATTGACACAACCTAATGTTTTGAAGGTGGCGCGTATTGCTACATCAGTCATAGTAGCTAATGTTGTAGTACACAGATGTGCTGTACTTCCTTATGCATCGATCACTTTCAGGACATTTGAGTTGTTTCTGCTCTTCTTTGCTATTATAAATAATGCTTCAGTGAGCATTCATGTACAAAAGTTTGTGTTGAAATGTATTTTCATTCTCTTGTATAACAACTATGCTTACTCTTCACAGAGCTGCCAGTTTGAGAAGAGGCTAAACAATTTTATCTTCCCATCAGCAACATATGAAGGTTCCAATTTCTCCTTATCCTTGCTTCTTATAACAATCCTTTGATTATAGTTATATTGCTGGGTGTAAAGTGTTATCACAATAGGGTTTTGATTTGTATTTTTCTGATAAATACTAATATTGAACATCTTTGTATATCCTAGTTGGAAATTTATATCTACACTGGGGAGAAATAAATGCCTTATATAATTGAGTTGTAGGCGTTCCTAACACATGCTATACAGAAATTCATCCAAATATAGGAATTGCAAATATTTTCTTTGATTTTATGCTTAATAATTTTGCCTAATGACCTGCCTAGAACCTACAACCCTGTATCCAATATAACTGATAATAGTGGACATCTTTCTCTTGCTTCTAACATCAGAGGAAAAAAATGTTCAATCTTCCCCATTAAGTATGATATAAGCTGTGGTTGTTTTATACGTGTTGAGGAAGTTTGTTTCTGTTCCTAACTCATTGACTTCTAATAATAATTTGTTCTAGGTATTTTGAGATGATCATAAATTTTCTCATTTTCTTGTTCTGTTACTGTAGTCTACAGCATCATTAACTTCTCTGGTGCTTAACCAACACTGTGTTCCAGATGAATTCTGTTTGGTTGCATTGTTTAGGCTTTTTTATATACCATGGTGTTAGGTTTTCTAGTATTTTGTTGAGAATATTTGGCTTATGTTCTTAATAAATATCACTCCACAGTTTTTGTGGCATGGTTTTGTCTCACAGAATAAGTTTGGAAGAATTCCTTTTCCTTCTGATTTTTTTTCAGAATTTGTGAAGAATTGGGATAAATTTTTCCTTAAGCATCTGATAGAAATTATTCAGTATGTCTCCCTTGACCTAGCCTTTTTGTTTTTTATAGTGTTGATTTTTAAATTACTGTTTAATCTCTTGTAAAAGACATGTTTTCAATGTCTATTCCATAAAACTCTTAGCTCAGCTCCAGCCATTGCAGCTGCTTGGGAAGTGAACCATTGGACAGAAGATCTTCCTCTGTCTCTCCTTCTCTCTGTATATCTGCCTTTCCCATTAAAATAAATAAATCTTTCAAAAGAAAGAAAAAGACACAAATGAATATGAAGTGTGAAAAGGTAAAATTCACAACAAAAGTAATTGGATTTTAATCCAAAAAACTGCAAATTAAAACAAGGAAGAGCCATTTCCTAAGATGAGCAAAACAACCCATCAGCCATATTAACAATGAGCATCACGAGAGAACAAATACTTAAATGTAGAAATAAATGAGAAATGGTTCCAATTTTCTCCTCTTTACATGGGTCGTGACACTGTTGGCATAGGCCATAATAGAGAATCAAATTTTTTGTTGTCTGGGTGTATTTAGAAGTTTCATTGAGGATCAACCTTCATTCCTTAGTTGAGATGCATTCTGTTGATTTTCTTTGATTACCGATACTGTGGTCTCTATTACATCCTTCGTTTGTGTATTTATTCTCTTTTTTGTTTTGTTTTGTAATTTCAGTAGAAGTTATTTTATATTAGAGCAGGCATATGATATCTGTCCTTGGGACTGGCTCATTTCACTTGGCATAATGTTCTCTGCTTGGGCCCATTTGGTTGCAAACACTAGAATTTCAAATCTAAATGGATAAAGGAGCTAAACTTACATCCATAAACCATAAAGCTATTAGAAGAAAATGTAAGAAACACTCTACAAGATATAGGCACAGGCAAAGGCTTCCTAGAAAAATCATTAGAAGCACAGGCATTCAAGACCAAAATAAACAAATGGGACTACATCAGGCTAACAAGCTTTTGCACAGCAAAGAAAACAATCAACAAAGTAAAAAAAAAAAAAGCAACCAACAGAGTGGGAGAAAATCTTTGCACAGTATACAACAAATAGGGGCTAATATCCAGAATATCAAAGAAAAAAAATATCCAGAAAAACCATAACAACAAAACAAACCAGTTAAAAAATGGGCAAAGGAAATGAGCAGACATTTTTCAAAGGAACAGATCCAAATTGCTAATAGAAATATGAAAAAAATGTTCAAGCTCCCTAGCAAAAAGGGAAATTCAAATAAAAACAACACTGAGGTCTCACTTAATTCCAGTGAGAATGGACAACATACAGAAAACTACCAAGATCACTTACTGTGCAGGATGTGGGGGGAAATGAACCTTACTCCACTGCTGGTGGGACTGCAGGCTGGTGCAGCCACTATAGAAGTCAGAATGGAGAACATTCACACAACTGAAAATTCACCTGCCATATGATCCAGCAATCCAACTCTTTGGAATATATCCAAAAGATCTGATTCATAGACATGAGAAATCAACTTGCACCCCTGTATTCATTGTAGCACAATCAACAATCAAGAAAAATGGAAACAGCCTAGATGCTCACTGAAAGAGGACTGGATAAAGAAATTGTGATACATCTATTCTATGGAATGCTACTTAGCTTATCTTTCTTCACCCGTTGTTCAACCCAGGCTGATTGTCCTTCTCAGGGCAAGAGATCTGGGCAGCCTGTAAAGGGGATTTTTGCTCTCATTGAGAGAAAATCACTTTCTTAGCACTTGGCACACAGTTCTTTGGGTATCTTCCCAAGGATAGCGAAGTAAAAAAAAGAATATTGTTTGTGGGCCTGGCATGGTAGCCTAGGAGCTAAAGTCCTTGCCTTGCACACACCAGGATCCTATATGGGCGCCAGTTCTAATCCCGTTGGCCTCGCTTCCCATCCAGCTCCCTGCTTGTGGCCTGGGAAAGCAGTTGAAGACAACCCAAAGCCTTGGTACTCTGCGCCCACATAGGAGACACAGAAGAAGCTCCTGGCTTCTGGTTTCAGGTTGGCTCAGCTCCAGCCATTGCAGCCACTTGGGGAGTGAATCATCGGGCAGGCGATCTTCCAATCTGTCTCTCCTCCTCTCTGTATATCTCAGTTTCCAATAAAAATAAATAAATCTTCTTTAAAAAAAAAACATCAGAGATGGGCCCAGGTTTGGCAGGATATTACTTTAATAAAAGATACTGTGATACATCAATGGTACCCAGAAACATTCATAATAGAGAAGCCACAAGCCTTTCATCTTTTCTTTACTTGGGAGCATGCACCTTGCGATCATAGACTATCCACCAAAGTAGATTTTTATATCCTTATTCTGGTCTTCCTTAGTACTAGGTGCTTCCGTACTTCTAAGGCTTAGTCATTTGTAACGGTCCAGTGGAACTTACTGTGAAGGTGAAATATTCTGTCTCCATGTCCAATATGAGAGCCAGTTATCATATGGGACTGGTAAGCCCGTGAGGAACTGAATTGTTTAATCTCCATTCATTTAGACCTCATTTGATGTGTCCTTAGCAAGAGGCTCTTGTACTACAAAGAGGAGTTATCATTTCTGACAGCCTGTTCCTTAATACTGTGCAATTAAACCTTGTAATCTAGATGAAAGGAAAGAATCCCCAGATCATTTTCAGTAGTTTCATACATGATGAACTTACGCAAGGGATCATGGACAGTTTTTTTTTTTAAAAAGCTGTGAGATACCCATCAGTCTTCTGGAAGCTCAAATGCAGAAAAACAACAACAACAAAAAACAGTTGATGCTTGCAGCCTGACCTCGGGGCAAAGCCAAGACACCAGCAGCAAAGTGCTGGGATGTACCCAGGCCACACAGGAGAGTCCCTCCTCAATGCTTCCTGCTAAAGAATGTCCTGCACAACACAGGACAGGAGGTGCTCTTTCTCTTTGTGGCAGGCAAAGGAAGGGAAAGAAGACATCTTCAAAGGTACAATTGGGAACATTTACTTTATGCAGATAAATGTTGAATAAAGGGAATGATTCTGGCTTCTCTGCTTGTTCCTTTTGGTGTGCTTACAAAGTTTTTGCAAACCAGTAGCATCCTCAGAGGTAAGCTTTGAAGTGGGGAGATGGAAGGTCCTATTATCTTCACTTTCCGGAAAGGCACTCTTTACATTTTTTCCAATATAGGTTTTTCTGATATATATATTGATGAAAGCCAAACTACTCATAGATAAAACAGATATTAACAGAATAATCTTTCCCCAAGGGATAAAACATCATAATAACCAAGATCTGGGTTTTCTCTTAAGATAGAGACGTTTAACTTCGTATCAGTGTGCATGAATGGCCATGGGAGCTTGCCCTTTTTAATAATAGGAAAGACATACAATAACATTATACACTGTGATCTAATTGTCTCAAATAATATGGTAACCTTATCCCAGCTGCTCTCAAAACATTATTCTAAAAAAATCCTTTTAGCATTTCAATGTAATGAAAGTCTGTGCTCCAAAGCTTCCGACGTTTAGCATTTTATTTTCTCTGGGCCCATGTCAACAGCGTAAACAGAAACAAAATAAGAACTAAGGCTCATTCCCAACTCATCACAGTATTTCAAAATGTCTCTTTAAGTTCATCTATGAAATGTCATTTTCCCTCTCTGGGGAAAAGCGTGCAGCCAGGAAAAAGTTGGAAATCACGTTCTTTTAACACTGGGCACAGGAACAGAGCCCACAGGTAAATTTAATTTCCCCACAGATGCATTAATGCTGGCTCATCTCTTTGTTCCCAGGTCATAGATTTGTACTGGGGAGTTGATGAAGACGAATGGGACAGCCCAGAGCTCCAGAAGACACGCATGAAGCTGCTAGAAGATTGCTTGAAAACTTCTGCAGGTCCATGTTTTGTTGTGGGTATAAAAACACTCATGCTCTATATTAAATTGTAGATGAATGCAAGAATCCTTACTGATTGGTGATAACTTAAAGAATTTTAGAGAGAAACAAAACCTTTTTTTTTATGTCTAATTTTAAACTCTCTCCATCTCCTCAGTGTGTGAGAACAAAAACCTTGTCAGCTTTGCATAAGAAGCACTGTGAATTAACAGCAGTCTCAACAATATCTTGTGACCAGCAACAAGAATTACTATTTCAGTCCCACAATAATATCCCAGTTTTCCTTATCCTATAGCATAATGTATTCATTATTGTTTTCATTTGTAACATTTTTTTCAGCACAGTTGCTAAAAACAGCATTAAACCAATGTACATGCAATGTGTCAAATCAACCAGTGGCAGTGGTGCCATATAAACAATTGTTTGTCTAGTAATCAGCGAAGTGCTCTTTATAAGCTGCAAACTGACAGATTTGTCAAGTGGAATATTATTACTAGTTCATTATTGCTTTCTGAAGAATACTCATTCTGCTATGCAAATGCCATAAGATAGTAAGACAAGTAGGCCATTCTGTGGCTGATGATTAAGTGGGATCACTACCTTTAATTTAGCTTAAGATAGCCTTATCTGGAATTGAAACAGCTCCCAGGAATTAATAGATAAGCTGACCCTTTTAACCAGGAATGCTCCTTCATGGATAAGTATTAAAGTTGGTAGTAAGAGATCTGAAAAGCTGATCTTATCATATGGTTTGTGATATGCATTCAACCCCAGCAGTGTTAGGCCTACAGAAATGGGGTCAGAATTCAAACCAGCAGATAATAAATTTCCCTCTAAAAATAATATAAAGTGTATAAGACTCTCAAAAAAAAAAAAAAACATCTTTTCTATTCTATTTAAAGTAAGTTATTTGTTAGCCAGCTACTTAAGTGCTAATCTGTGCCCAGCTCTGCTCTTTATGATGGGATATGTTTGATTCGTACTATAAAATGAGGGATTTCCATATGAGTAAGTACAGCCTTATTCAACAAAATATACTTAAAAATGAGAAACTAGTGAATTCAATCAGATTTTCTTTAAGTAAAAATAAGTCTGAAGCCTCAGATTTCCCAGTTACATTTTGCTGGGAGAATGAAGAGACAGAGATGTCTTTAAATATTGTGTTAAGCTTGCCCAGTTTGTTGTTGTTTGACATAGTTCTGAATTAGGTTCCAATAATAGAGTGGTTGAAATATACTCAAAGTCCAGTGGTAATAGGTTGGTTGACTACCATGAAATAAATGTTAGAATACACAAAGACTGAAAGTCAGCTTTTTTTTCTCACCAATGTTCAACTCTGGGAGAAGCCAAGAAGTGGCCATTTCCTTTTTTTTTAAGATTTATTTATTTTTATTGCAAAGTCAGATATATACAGAAGAGGAGAGACAGAGAGGAACATTTCCTATCCTTTGATTCACTCCCCAAGTGACCACAACAGCCAGAGTTGCGCCAATCCGAAGCCAGGAACCAGGAGCTCTTCTGGGTCTCCCATGTGGTTACAGGGTCCCAAGGCTTTGTGCTGTCCTCGACTGCTTTCCCAGGCCACGAGAAGAGAGCTGGATGGGAATCAGGGCCACCGGAATTACAACCAGTGCCCATATGGCATTTCAGCACGTTCAAGGAGAGGACTTTGGTGGCTAAGCCACTGCGCCGGGCCCAGGGGCCATTTACTTAACTGCTATATAAGCTATAGCTGTAACTTAAAACATTGTTTCACATTTTCTATAAGATAGCATATTCGTGGGCCCAGTGCGATGGCACAAGTGGTTAAGGTCCTTGCCTTGCATGCCCGGGATCCCATATAGGCGCCGGTTCTAATCCCGGCGCCCCGCTTCCCATCCAGCTCCCTGCTTGTGGCCTGGGAAAGCAGTCAAGGACAGCCCAAAGCCTTGGGACCCTGCACCCATGTGGGAGACCCGGAAGAGGCTCCTGGTTTCGAATTGGCTCAGCTCCAGCCGTTGCAGCCACCTGGGGAGTGAACCATCTGACGGAAGATGTTCCTCTCTGTCTCTCCTCTCTGTATATCCGCCCTTCCAATAAAAAAAAAAAATGATAGCATATTCGTGTGAGATAAAAGACGATTATGGAGAAGAAAAAGTGGAAGAGCATTGAGTATCTTTGCAAATCTAATTGAAAAAAACTTCAATTCTTTAATTCAAGCAACACCTGCTTCTGAATCAAACGAGAACATTTTTTTTAAAAAAGAAAAAAATATAAACACTCTAGTTTTAATAAAGATGGCAAGAAGAATGGAAACAAACATAATTAGACATGCTTAATTTCCAAAACTGGAAGAGTCCTCTCTTGGTAAACTCTCTTTACAGAAGAGGAACTCCAAAAGCATTAACTTTTTCTTCATAAGACAGTGGCTTAACATGGACCAGTCAAGAAGGACAGAAACCTGGGATGGAATAATGCTTCCATGGTCCGTCAGCAATTGACAAATTCCTGTGGACACTAATGTGACCAATCAGTGAGACTCGCCTGTGAAATACTTTCACTAAAAGTAAACTGAATCTAATTAAAATGCAATCTAGGTTCAGTCCCTTCCATTGGATGGGATGGTTATGATCTGCTTCTCATCTGTCAGTCTACTTAGGAACTTGTAAATCAAAAGTCATTAGTAAACTCAATTTTCAGAATACAATAAAAATGTAAAGGACAAGAAAACATGGTTAATAAACTGAAGAAAAGGTGCATCATGGGAGACAGTCTCCAGATGATCCAGATGATGGGACTACCAGTGAGAAACTTTTAAATAGTTATTGTAATTATATTAGTAAAATGAAGAGAGGGCTAGTTCAACAAATTAGCACAATTACCAAATGATATTTTTAAACTATAAGATACAGTATTGAAAACTAAACTCATTTGATTGGCTTAATAACAGACTGAACACCGCATAAAACTGTCTTCACGAACAGAGGAGTCAATAGAAAATATCCAATCCGAGCATATAATTTTAACGAGAAAAATAATGAAAGCCAAACAAACAAGAGGCACAGGAGGCATTGTCAAACAGCAACACACACATTTATGTAAAGTTACAGGGAAAGAGAAAGACGAGAATGAAGGAAAAAGTAAAAATTTTGCAAAGTTATTGAAAGACATCAACCCATAACTCCAAGAAAGCAAGTAACCCCAAGCAAGAAAGTTGATATAATCCTAGAATCATTGAAAACCAGAATTAAAGAAAGTAAGCCTCAAAAGAGAGTAGAGGAAAAAATATCCTTGTATTCCAGAAACAACAAAAATACAGCTGAGTTTTCAAAAAAGAAAATATAGAAATCAAAAGACAAAGGAATGACATTATTAAAGAGCCGAAAGATTTTTTAAAAGCCTGTAATCTGTCAACCCACGTTTATAGACTAAGCCCTATAACGAAAATACAGATTCAAGTGTATTTTGTTTACAGGAATCCCTTTGAAAACTAAGGATAAGAATAAAGCAATGGAAACATACATACTATGCAAAGATTACCCAAAAGAAAGTTACATCAATATTATACAATAGGTATCTCATGAAGAAGATAAAATGAGATGTCTCAGGATGATATAAGGTTGCATTCTTGAGGAAAAGGTAAGACTGCTATGGCCATATACACCTGAAAAGCTTCAAGATAATGGGCCTGTATAGTGGCATAGAAGGTAAAGCCGCTGCCTGCTACGCATCCCATAAGGGAACCAGATCTAATCCTGACTGTACCACTTCTGATCCAGCCCCTGCTAATGTTCCTGGGAAAGCAGTGGAAATGGTGCAGGATGCTTTCTAGAAATGTGTATGCCACATTACTGTTCTATAAACACAGTGTATATCCAAGGTCCTGCTAAAGCTGCATAACATACCTCTATGCTCTTAAATATCCTCAAGTCAGGTGTGTGCAATTAAATATAACACAGTTTAATAAATGGAATGATATGGTACTGGAAAATGTTATGGGATCAAAATAGAGAAGTGACACATTCTGATTTTATGAATCAGCGGAAGTGAATTTACACTGAAGCTGGAAGGACTGAGTTTTCCACCTCTGGTTCTGAGGCAGAGGACAAGAGCGGTTACCTTGATTATACAGACACTGCATTCCTGCATACAGATCAGATCAGAGGGTCATTGTGAAACATAAGGCATCCAGATCTTATAAGGAAGAAGCTATGCCAGCTTGTGAGCAAGTAGCCAGGGGACATTCTGGTTCAGAATGCAGCTCTGAAGCTGGCAGGAGCTGCAAGGAGGCAGGTGACTGAACAAGAAACCCAGCTAACGGCCACGATCCGAGTGGAACATGATGTGGTATCAGTGGGGGAAGGTAGATATGTGTGCGTGGATGAGAGATACTTCAGAGAGGTCTAATTGATGAGATTTAAAAGAGGTTTGATTGATGAGATTAAAGAAGTTTAAAGTTGTTCAGTGTGTGGGTGCTGAGGAGGACAGGCGAATCAGAAGTGAATATATTGATACCCAGGACATTAGATCTTCCTTCAGTCCCATCATCAAAGATGATTAAATATTCACACCAAAACTTGCAATGGCGTAATCTATAACCACCATTATTTTAAATACTTAAATATACACACAAAACCTGCAGTAATGTAACCCGCATTCCAAAATTTACAAAATACAGTTGTTTGCTGAAAACAAAATCTCAATTAACCAGCACGCATATATGCTCTTCCTCATTACTCACACTCTGTTTGCTTTATATGCCTTTCTGGTGCTGTACAGCATGGAAGGAGAGGGAACTCAGTAAGCAAGAGTGAAGAAGCAGCAAGTCCGTCACTGTTTAGTTTCCTTCCTTAAAGGGTTAGGGGAGGAACAATTTTGTTAATGTGTGTCAAGGAACAAATACGGTGGAAATGCGTGAGAAGGGGGTCAGGGAGGTGTTCTTCCAGTTTAGAAATATACACAACTATCAGAAAGCATGCAGGACTTTCTTTCTGTAAGCCCGCCTGCCCCTGCAGCCCCTGAGCTTTGGGGAGGA